TGCTGGAGTACAAGTTTTAAGGCCTTACCGCATGTCAATGCGCGATCTACAATTGAACCCAGGGTATATATATATATATATATATATACGCGCGGAATTACACTAAGATTTGATAATTTTCATTTTTCTCGACAAGAGCATCTCACAGAAATTTTCCTGCGAATTTCTGCGAGATTGACTCAGCTAACTAGATCCTCATTAGATTTCTGTTGGAGTGTCGAGAGAATCCTCGCGGAAGGAGCGTTGGCTCCAGTTCGTTCGGGCAAAGTGGCTCTAAATTCGTGAAAAAATGTGGCGCGAGAAGGGTTCCAAGCGCGGGTCCAAGAGGGGTCTTCCGGACCGAGGGTCTCGCGATCAATCGGCGCTCTGGCTCGTCTTGTGACTGAGAATGGTCTCGATATTACGCTGAATCCGCGCAATCTGCGATTGCGATCGCTTGCTGCTCTTAGGCGTCGTCGGGCCCCCCTCCTCGATGTACAAGTTGCCGGCCGCCGCCTCCGGCCAGCCAGCCGCCGCTGCCGCCGCCGCCGCCGCTGCCGCCATCGCCGCCGTCGCCGTCGTCGTCGTCGTCGCCGCCGCCGCTGCCACCGCCGCCGGAGTCTCCCGTTTCCGGTCTGCAAGCAGAGAATAAACGAATCCTCACCGGCCCCGTCGGTCAAGCGCGAGCGAAGGGAGAAGAGGCTCCGCTTTTGCCAGGCTCTCTCTCTGCGTTTCGAAACGCAAGAGAGTTAAGTCTCGCGATTTCGCGTCGCGCAGCTTGAGACCGCGTATTTATGTAGGAAGATGAAAACACTTTCCATCCGGTTGTACATACAAAGATATTTCGTATCTCTCTCATCTCACAACTGATTCAAGCGGATTAATGTTGTTAATGTTATTCAAACGTGAAAAAAATTTTGAGAGGATAGAATGAAGATTGTCGTGCTGCTGCGTTAATTTGTCGTCTCTATTATTGTGCGACTTGGAAATTCGTATGGAGAACTTAATTTAAAGTTTTAAAACCGATATGATAAATGACGTAAGAAATCAGAAATAGAGAATGGAAACGCATGTTAGATGCAAAAGGAATATCTTTGCAGTACAATCGGATATCAGTGCAGCTTTTGATTTTTCCTCATCGATCGATTTCTATAATGTGTTTTTGCAATTAAGTTGTAACTATCAAAGAATCTCCGTCGGATTAAAAACGATTTATCTCCGTTCGCTTGGGATCTATTGAAAATGATTAAATCGCGTGATCCGCGGCGTGGCTGCACGAGGGAACGGACGGACGCGCGTCACCGTCACGTCGGACGCGTGTCGTATTTCGGGAGCACCGTGTACATCGCGTTACGCTTCCGGTAGCGGCCGGTCCACATATAAATACAACTTCCGAGGCGTGGGAGCGCAATGAAATATTCCGGCCGGGGGAAAAGATCTCGCGCGCGCCCGTCTCGCTTTCCGGCCGAGAGCGTGCAGGCGTATATTGACGCGCGCCGCGCCATGCCGCGCGCCGGCCGCTGCTAAAATTGGCGACGGATTGATTTTCGGGCTCACGCTCTCGCGGGCGCGCGGCTTAACGCGCGTCAAACTCGAAAAGTGCAACAAGACGGCGCGCAGTCGGCGATTTCGGTGGCCTCCGAAAGCCCCGAACGAGCGCGAGCCCCCGGTACGATCCTATACCGAGAGCGCGAAGCGACTCGCTCTTAATTACAGTCTTGCAATAAATCGCGGTGCGGTAACTCGATGGAAAATTCCAACGATTCTGCAGCGCACCCATGGCAGTGACAGACCTGTTTTTTTGACGCTGCATGCTTGGACTGCACTAAAATTTTCTTTCTTGCTTTCGTCAAATTTCAAATATATATATTTCATTTTAAGTACAACAAAAGTGTATGCTAGTTCATCTAGAAAGAATAGATCTAAAGTTTCGAAAACGTCGTTAAAATATCACGATTACACTTCTCTTTTCTTTTGTTCTCGTTTAGGTTCAAGTTACTTCTCTATTGTCTTCTCTATTGTGAATTTTTTGACTCGCCTTTTTTGGACCTCTGTATTTAAAGGACCTTTCTGGTATTTACACACATGTAGAACGATGACCATACGATGAAAGCAAATATTGGCGAAGTATAAAACTATGAAGTATAAAAAATTTTTCTTTCAATTAGAAACGCAAACAACTTTTCGATAAATATAATACGTCTCTTCCACTTATTTCTAAATATTTTTTCTTATACATATATTTTGTTTGCATAAAACTTTTTAGTTCTGCAATCCTTTTTTATTTGTTATATTTATCGTATTTTCTATTATATTCACGTAGATGGTTGCTTCAAAAAAAGTTTAAAAAAAAACAGGTGATTTATTTGTATAATATATTAAATAAATAGGAAGAAATTGTTCTTTTCTATTTTAAACTATTTGAAATTCATGCTTCCTTTAACATCCTGACAATTTGCTAATAACATAAAAATGAAGCAAAAGAAAGTAAATACAATTAGTACAATAGATAAAAGAATCAAGAAAGAAAATTTCACGCAGATAAAATAGCAGAAAAAAAAGAAAATCAACGAGAGTAGAAAAATACATTAAATTAAAAAAAAAACATTTAATTCATTGCGTATCAATCTCTTTCACAATCCCGCTCACTCGATTCAGGATGAACTGAACTTTTCTCTCTCACGCGAGCGCGAGCGTGGGCCTTATAGTCTCAATCTAATAAGCTCGACTTTCCGGCAGAGAATAGCAAACAATCCCGCTTGAAAAAACACTTTAACCATTTACCGTACTATCCTGTAAACCGTCCTTATTATCCACAAACCCGCCGGCGCTGACGCGACTTTGGGCGCGCGCTAAAGTTAGAGCGCGGCGTGCGGGCGCGCGACGCCGCGCCGCGCCGCGCCGCGCCGCGCGGCGGATGAATGAAGGCAGATAAACGTCCGAACAATCGCGTCATTTTGTTTTCGCGCACGAATAAATAATTCTCTCGCGCGGCGGGCGAGAGTGCAGCGTGGTGTGTGCACGCGAGGGGTCCCGCGATTCCCATCCCGTTCCCGTCTCGTCCGTTTTAAGGTCCGTCCGTCTACTGCAGGCAGCCGCCGTGCCGCCTCCCAAAATATACCGCGCGGCACGGCGCGGCGCGATTCGAAGCACGCGTGCGAAAATCCGCACGCTCTGACGTAACGCACGTGCGCGTTTCTCCCCCGCGGCGATCCGCGAGCGGCGAGGTTGCGATTTATCACGCGTGCGGGATGCGGCGGTGGGTATTATAGAAGAAACCGCGGCGTCGGTTTCGGGGAAGCTCTCGAAGGTCGGAGCTTAACGTCTCGGAAATTCCCAATTATTCGTAGAGACGCAAACCTGCAGACGCGCGCATTCTCAATTTTAATAAAAGAACCTTTCCGAAGAAGAATTAAACCGTCCGGATGCGGTTCTTTTATTAAAATTGAGAATGCGCGCGTCAGGTTTGCGTATCTACGAATATTGCCCTGGGAATTTCCGAGACGTTAAGCTCCGACCTTCGAGAGCTAGCTACGCCGAAACCGACGCCGCGGTTTCTTCTGTAATACTCACCACCGCATCCCGCACGCGTAATAAATCGCAATCTCGCCGCTTTGCTGCACCCCGTGATTTCTTTTTAGGACGGATTCTCTCAGTTTATATATACATATAAAAGTTAAAAGTTTCAATTTATTTAAGAGAGAAATAATTAAGATTACAACGGTTGAGAAATATGTCTGTCTATATATGACCACATGTAATGACGATGTCATTTTCTGCGGAAAAAAAAGATGTTTACATAAGATGTATAATAAGCAATCCTGCAAAACGAAATTAATATTTGCAACATTAAAAGAAATCGAAAGAGTAAGAGAGAAACAGGCGGCGAGACTCTGAAGGCGATAATGACGAGATTAAAAAAAGATCCGTATTGATGGTATAGTCTAAATTATTAGGTATCGCATGTGCGTGCGCGCACATCCGTCCTCCTGTACTCGAGACCCCCGTCCGCCCCTCACCCCACGGCAAAAATGCGGAACGTGATGTGTTACGTATTATGCAAATATTCGCGTATGTATCATAGCGGAAACGAACGCGTAAAGGAACAATGCGCTGAATGAAAGTTCGATAATAAGCCACGCGCCGAGTATGTGTGTCAACGCGAAACCCCATCTCCCCTCCCCCCTCTCGCCGCCTATATAAATCCGGCACGCATGGAAAACCTTCGTACCGGAAGATATTAGATACGTTCCGACGTCTCGAAGATATCGCGCCCACTCGCCACACTATATGACCTATTATCTCTAGCGAGTCTCTTGATTCAATCGCGCATCTATAAAACCCATAATCGATTAAAGTTTGTAATGAGATTCGCGTGTCTCGGACAGATCGACTTAACGTCAACAATAAGATCCGGTTTTTTGTTTATAATAAGCGTAATAATGCTTTAGCTTTTTGCTTAAGCCACGATCCATAAGCTTTATAAAGGTCTACATCTATACAATGAGAGTAGTAAATCGTAAACCGTATAAGAAATTGATCAAACATAGTCGATTATTCTTCTTATATTTGATCTATAATATTTGGCCAACTTCTTACGGCTTACGATTTACTATTCTCATATTGTAAATGAGGATCTAAACGAGCTGACCAGATCGTGCAGCTATACGAAATTTTAGAGCTTAGACTCGCGAAAGGCTCTCTACTATTATACACTTATGTAGACCGAGTCTAATACTTAAGCGGCGTATTCCCCTCCTCCCTCCCACTTTTCCTTCCCCTCCCCCGCCTCCCTCGTCACCGGAGAAAAAAAAAGAAACGAAGACTTCCGGCGTGCCGACAACCGGACGGTACTTCACGGTCACCCCGTGTGAAGTGCGAGCGTGCGCGCGCGCGCGCGCGTGTGAAGCTCATTCAAGTGCGGTGCGAGTTAAGCGAATTTATTGTGCGCTTGAGATTGCCAGTCGTCGTTCCCCCGCGCGATCCTACTCGTCCGTTTGTCGTCCGGTCTCCCCCCCCCCTCCCTCCTCCTCCTCCTCCGCCCTCTCCCCGTTCTTCCTTTCGGCGCACAAAATGATCATTGCGAATGTGCACGCAACTACATCTTACACGGCCGCGCGCAATGGAAGTGCTGACTGCAAAAGCGACGCGTAGTACGTAACGACGTATAGGCCGAATTTTACGTCTCGACTTCAGCCCTAGCAAGCCTACCGACGTGTCTGAGCAACGCCGATGTTCGAAATATTTCTTACGCAATTCGACGGCGTTTTCAATCAAACCGAGCGAGTATTTAAAAAATTCGCGTGCAGTGATATTTAATTTATAGGAGACTGAAATTCTTCGTTTAAATGAGAAAATTCGCGCTTTCCAACGCATAAAGTAAAATTAAATAAAATAGTAAACCGAATAATGAACAGTTAACTAGCGAAATTCAATCGATACATAAATACATAACTAACAATAAGTAAAAATAAATGTATTCGATCAGAGCTGGATTTTAATGCTTAATAATATTTCTGCGTGACTTTTTTAGTTAAAATAATTTACATTTCTAATAATTAAAACTTTTCAAAAGAAACGCGAGCGTCTTTAGTTTTATAAATGTGATAACCGACTATATGTCATTTTTAATTTTTGGGTATAATTCAAATATATGGATGCAACTGATATCTTTATTGGTTAAGCATCGTCGAGTATTCAACTTCTATTTAGACATATTTATCAACCGCTTAAAGAAGAGCAATGACCAGCGCCCACAGGTGGTAACGTCAAGTGGTTGTCGTCGCGAGGATTTATAGCCATAAACGGTGGGGGACTTAAAATTTTGACTGTGCTTACCTAAAAGCTTCTCGAGATACTGACATCGGGTCTCGGGATCACCTGGGTTCATCGGTGCCCCTGCAACCAACTCGGCCAGTTCCGCCTTCACCATCAGGTTCAACCTGGCCGAGATCTCCTCGAGACCCGCTGCAACAAAAATTGTGATCCAGTCAGCGCCACGTAAATTCGTCATTATATATCTATTAATATTATGAATATTATAAATTCTTCAAATATTATAAATCAGATAGTTTCACAAATCTTGTCTTGTTTAAGTATTAAGATATTTCGCGAATGTAAGTTTTATTTTGTTTAACAATAAATTTATAAATGTTTAGAGATTTTATTTTACATGTGCATACTGTTACAATTTTAAAAGTATAGTGTTCTTGCTAATTGCACTTGTAAAAATTTTATTTTAAATTGAAGATTTTACAATTATCTAAATAATAAGTTATATTTTTGAAAATATCACTGTCTTAAAAGCACAAAGTGCTTCAAGTGTGAAATCAGCTATGAGTTTTGTTATAATTACACATAAAATGTATATATCGTTAAAATAAAAATATTGAATAATTGTGTTTTCCTGATAAAATCACAACAATTTTAGAATAAATCATTCGATATGCAAATAATAAATTTTTCAATTAAATGATAAAAAATCATATAAATGTCAAGAATAATTATAGTCTGTAACTTGAATTTTTTTATCATCGGAGACTTTCTCATTAAATATAGTATCAATTATAAAATATTTCTCTGTTGATATATTATATATTTCATCTATTTCGTCTCTGTCGGAGTATAATATATGTGTACATTAATATACACAATGTGCAAATCAAGCGGCATGATCCGAATAAAATCCCCCGAGATATGACAGCGTCGTAAAGACACATTTGCATCGCGCATTGCAGTCGACGAGTGCAGTCGACGTGGAATGCGTCGAGGACGTCTGTGGAATGCGGCTCGATTTTCTCCGGAGCCCCATGGTGTGTACGTTCGGTTCCCCCAATGGCTCCCGACTCGAGCAGTATCCCCATAAGTCCCCGACCCCTCTCGCCCCTCCGCGACCGCTATTCCTAATCAGAAGCACCGGGTGGGCCGACCGTCAGCCGCAATCAAACGGTACCGATTACGTACGCATATCGTGCGTCCGAGTTTCACGGTTGCCAATCATGTTCATTTTATAAAAGCGTATATAGGCGCGAAATAACGCCATTTTTTCACTTCTCCCCTGTGACGATATGATATCAATCAAAATCGATCGAAGTCTCTACATCTAAATATATATACGGTATATACGCGGGGAATGCTAGACAAGTGAAATAAATATTGAAACATGAGATATTTATTTGTGCCAGCTATTTTTTTTTTAACTATAAAACGCAACGTTTTCACAATCTTTTCAAAACATCATATATTTCAACTTTTATTATGTATCTCTTAAGTTTATTCAAATAAAATACTAAAATTATATTTATTTATTTATATATATACATGTATACAGTATTTTTCTTCTAAGAATAAGATCTTGTTACGTGAATTTGCAACTTTCAAATCTGATATATTTCTAATGGATTCAAACTAAAACACAGTTTGCTTTAGTTTAATTATTTTTTAAATTTATAGTTGCATCGCGAATCTTTTTTTGAAGGAAAAGTTTCTCTCATCTCCGCTCGTTGATTGTGTATTATCAATTTATTCATTCGATTATAGTACAATTGTCGAAACGTGAACCTCAATAAATACTTCGCAAAAAATGGACAAAAAGTATAGCAAGAGAAAAGTATAATAATCCCCGATGCCGTTGAACAGGGTAGCGCTTTGATAATACGGGCTTCCGGCGATAATGCGATGATATGTATTACAAAGTACGATCAAAGTTGCAGTTAGAATACAGCAACTGTGGAAACGTTTTTATTAATATTACATAGTGTAAATCGCTCGCGGACGGACGCGCGCGATTATACCGTGCGTATAATTAGTATTAATTAACTATGTACATAATTCGCGAACAATAAATATTAATGCGATTGCAACTGCAATAAAATCCAACGCGTGCAACACGCTCGAGGTGGCCTCGAAATGTTATTTTTATATATGGGGGACGTCTCTCCGAAACGCGGAACGAGAAGGTTTGTCCTGCAAGATTTCTCGATTTCTCACGTAGTAATTTTATCGTTTCTCGTAATCGCGTTTTCTCTGCTCGATATTTACTCAGTCTTCGCCCGAGTGCAATTTCATACGCGATTTCCGTGGTCTCGTTACGATCCCGCTTCAGAACGTTCGCACTTTCAGAAGCGGATTCCATGCGATCTCATGATTTTGACTATTTTAATTTATAAATACGAACAGTCTCTTACGCAAATTAATGCTTATATATAAGTAATGAGTTCTTAGGCTCTCTTTAATTTCAAGTACATTGCACTTTAATAAAATTGCTTTAAAATCGATCGACAATGGATACAATGGAAAGGGTGAAAATAGATAGTATTTTATATAGCCTGAATTTGTCGACGATTTATTTCCAGATCGGTATCTAGAAACAAACTTTTAATAACAATATAAATGATATCTTGTAATATCTTGTATATTACAAAATCAGTGCCTTGATTACAATTGATAGACTGGTTATAACTTATAATTTTTCAAAACAACATTTTATACTTTAAGTTAAATTTTTGTCTTTACACAGCAACACACAATAACTGTCTCGTGGACTCTTCAATTAAAAAGTCATTTTATTTGTGATAAGAAATTGTTGTATTGAACAAAAGCGTTACTATAATTTTTATACATATAACAAAAATACATAGCATCATGTAATAAATGATATTAATGTTAATTATCTTGAAATTACAAGTCAACCATTCTGCTAGAGCCCTTAATTTGAGAGAACATACGATTCGGCCGCGAGTATTTCACGCGTCGTCGACGCGCGCTGCGCGGCGTGTGTTTCGCCGAAAGTGTAGATTTAAAAGGCGATACACGCGCGCGCACACCCGCCGGACGGACGAGGGGCTTCATTCATACGGCGTTCATTAACGAAACGTGGCTGAATCGGTTCCCACAAACGTACACGCGATACGTGGCGCGATACGTCGTCGGCTCGCAGAAGGAGATTGGAAGGATTGAAGGGAAGGAGAATAAGAAGGGAGAGAGAAGGAGAGAGGCGTAACACGGCGACGACGAACGGGGGAGGATTCCTGCAAGGAGGAGTTCTAAGTACCGCTCGAGCAGGAGTTCTGCGCTATGCAAATGCCAGATAGTAACGTCGTACACCGCACGTGTGCGAGCGTGCCGTCGAGTGTCTGCAAGAGTTGTTACGCGATTCCGATTCGCCCCTTACGTGAACCGCGATATACATACGGATTGTACGCGGTGTCCGCCGAAAGAAGACACGTGCGTATTTTGTTCTCAAAAAAGCGCACGTGTCACAAATGTGGACAAGCGTCTTTGGCTAATGTCCAGTTCTATATATAATCTATATAAATCAATGTAGATTAACTCTAATTTCTAATTCTTTCTTAGAACTCGGAAAAAGATAAAGAGTAAGTTGTGTGTGAACCGAGATTAAAGTTAATCTAATTCTTATAGAACTAAAAAAGATAAAAAGAAAGTTAAACTGAGATTAAAGTTAATCTACATAGAAATGGGCATAAGAGCTTTTAGAATTTGACAGAACGAATTAATTCAGATTTAATCTGGACAGATTTGAAACATGCTGAGATGTGCTTGCGATAACACGGTTTATTAATAAAAAACTTTCTCAAAAATAAAAAATTTCTCAATTTATATATTTCTCACATAAATTTGTAAAAAAATAGATATACGTCGCGTTCAGATATTGAAAATTAACATATGTAGCTTTTGATGGATAGAGGAAGGTTCTTTCGCGCATATTTAAAAATAACGCAAAGAGAATTTTCGCAAGACAGACATTCGGTCGTTTTTATTTTTGCTCATATTTTAATATAAATTCGAGAGATTTTCTTGAACGCACGAAAATGAAATTATGTAAAGTAATTGAAGGAGCGGATAGATTCAAATAGGAAAAACTGAAAAACTATTTCGTTCTGCAGTTCAACTTCTTGCATCAAACATGAACGAACGAGTTATGAATGGAATCATGAATGAACGGAATTATGAATGGAATATGTTTCTCATCTCCCCCCTCCTTCTTCCGTTCTCACAAGCATAAATCTCGTGATAGATACATTTAGTTATAGTAATATTCTTCATCTTTTAAAATTGATTTTAATTTTAATAAATTTGACTTAAAAAAAATTAAATATTACAAAAAGATAAGTTACACGAAATTTTAATTCTATTCGAAAACAGCCCATAGAGAAACATTTCATCGTTGCTTTACCGTTAATCGATTCGAGTAACAATTGCTGCTTATATTTCGGGGTGTAGCGAACGCGGAACGATGACGACGACGACGGCGTGGGCGATGGTACGCACCGCGCTGGGGACGTCATATCCGGGCGCGGTAGGTCGATCCAAGGTGAGGAGCGGCCGTGATCGGCCCTCTAATGAAGAAAATCCCGTCGTGCATTTTAAGGGACTTTGCTTCTCTCTCTCTCTCTCTCTCTTTTTCTCTCTCGCCGGTCTGCGCGCGCGTGTGTGTGTGTATACGTGCACCTGTATTCTTTCCGCCGCATCCCGACAACGCGGCTCCCTTTGCCGCGCGAGATACGGATCCTCCCCCTTCCTCTTCACCGGAGGGAAGTATCGCGGATGCATAACGATCGACAACGAATATTTTGACGCGCGCGACGTCGAAAAAAGAATGACCGGGCGCGCGATTAAAAATTATTGCAAAATCAATTTCGTTAAGAATTCTCATCAGTATAGAAGCTTCCGTCAGGATTTCGCGGAGAAGAGATTCTTATAAGAGTCCGAATATTCAAAGAGCACGAGAGATTTTTTTTTAGAGCAATTCTCTCGAGTTATTATATACGTTATGTATTAGTTTCCTTTGAATTCTCTTACCAGGCTCGAAGTTCCGCTTCATCCGCCGCCACTGTCTCGCGTAGACGAGGGCCGAGCATCCCGCTACCAGGAAGAATACTATGCAGGCGCACACCGCAAGGACCAGAGCGCCGGTCTGCCAGTCCCACGGTAGATTGTCCTCGTCGGCCGATTTTCTCCTCTCCCGAGGATCGTGCGCCGTCTGCGTCATAAAACCAGCGTGTTACTCTCGCCACGTTAATTTCACTCCCCCTAACTCTGTCTCTTTCGGAAGAAATTATTTCACGCCCTGATAAGGCTTATCTCTTATTATTCACTTTCGAGGCACGACGCGAAATGCATTCGACTTTGGCAATGCGACTCTACGCTGCATAGTAAACAGAGCGAAAGCGGTGGCCAGCTTTCGCCGTCTCGAAACGCTAATTAGTTTCAACGTTTATATTAACGGGGGACCGTGAGTGATTTTCTCCTTTAATTAATCAATTAATTTCCAACTAACGCGATTTAAATACTGTTAATCGGAATGAAAGATCAGTTTCTCCAACGCGCGTTTTTAATATCACATCATTTTCTGTGAAATTAATTGTTCTGTCGAATTGATTGTCTTCGAAATTCCTCCTCGATTTTACAATATTGTTTTTCGGACTTTATAGTTTTTATATCGATCATATAAAATTAAAAGATTGAAATGGAAACTATATAATAGAAATTACGAGACCAAAGACTTAAAGTTCTATAAATCCAAATAATTCGGAATTACTTTCGATTCCTGCGAGGCGGAGACCGGCTCCTTGTCGTCCAAGCCTCCGTCGGCCCAGCGACCGAGATTACCGGCTTCCACGGGCCGTTCTTTCGTCCTCTCCTCGGAGAGAAACGCGTTCGGGGTGACGGTCCCGTCGTCATCGCCGGCGCGCGAGGACTTCCTCCGGGCCGTCGACGACAGGAAAGACCAGTCGAGCTCGAGCGCCGACAGCGGGCCACATGTCGCGTCCCTGTGAATCGCGCACGGGCTCAGGGTGAACTCGGGGGCGCATCGGGTGCACGGCCAGCACGAGGCGCGTTCGGTGGACCAGAACTCCAGGCCGGGCTTGCAGACCGAATGTTGCTGCTGCGTCTGCGGCTGCGGCTGCTGCTGCGGCTGCGGCTGCGGCTGCTGCTGGGCGCCGGATGCCGCAGAGGACTCGCACAGGCCGACGAATATCGACACCAGGGTCAACAGCAACCCGGGACAGGATTCCCTCGGCATTACCTGCGATCATTGTCACGTGCGGCCGAAGCTGATTAGATAGCTCCAATCTTAATCTCATATAGACGCGAGCGGTCATCAATAAATGACTTTTTTTTCTTTCTTCTTTTCAACGCGTTATCGTGATATTTGTGTTTCCGTGTAGAAATCGTGGAAACGTTTGTTTTATTTAGTAAATTAAGTCAATTATATTTAAATATAAAATATATTTAATTATATATTTTGTGACTTAAATCCAATTTAATTAATCGATTCGGTTCGGTTTGACAAAGTACATGTATAATAAATGCGGAATATTCATTTTGATTACAGTATATAAGCGTGGGAAGAATTAATCTAAATTACAGAACAGAATGAGAAGATCCATTCATTTCAATCTCTGTATCGCGTATGTTTAAGTTACATACATATGACAAATCGTGTAATATATAAAATAGGATAAACGAATAAATAAAACGGAAATAATTCTATTCTTGACAACAAAGAGAAGACCTAGACATTTTGATTATTTTGAAAGTAGAACAGCACTTAAATGTATAAAGCAATTAATCAATTGTCATTTTTAATTTATCCCCTTAAAATAATCGAACTATCATTTCTCCCTGAGATCTTTTCCGCCAATTGTAAGATCGAAAGTTTCAAACCGGAAAGCCGTTCTCTTTCGTCGTTCTCGTCCTCGCGCGTGGCAGGGAACGGCAAGCTCCGCCGTTCTCTCGCGTCTCTCGTACGCGTGTCGCGTGTACGCGTTGCAAAACGTAATAACGGAGAGGCGGCGACGCGTCGATCGCGGTCGATCGGCGTAATTCGAGCGTATAAAGGCCGCTCTTTAGGCCGCAAAAGCGCTCGGACCGTTTCCACTTCCGGCTCGTTCGCGATGTAATTACATCCGCCGTTGAATCGCGATCCATCTACGTCATAGCCCGCGGCCGGCCGTCTACGCGCCTTCGTTTCCGCGCACGAGCGAGCGTGTACATACGTTCCGTTGCCTCTGTTCGTGCATATGTGTGCGGGCACGTCGTGTGTGGGTGCCGGGTGCACTGCACAGAAAAACCTTTACAGTCTGCGGATTTCGTGTGTGATCCGCCGTATGTATGTACGCGCATCGCGAGCCGCGTTCATCAGCACGCGTCTGTCCAGCGAGATTAATCCCCGCGTAATTATTATGATACGCCGAACTTCGCTGTAGCAAAAAAAAACTTCAACTTCGATGTACCTTCGATTAAGTACATCGTTCGCGACATATCTTAATCTCTTGCGTGACCGCAACTATATGACAAATGTTTCTACGTCTATTATACTTTCTGGGCAATTGTTGAGGATTTTATGTATACGCAAGTATACCGTAAAGATTTTACTATCGAGATTTTTATATATAAATTTTAGTCATATAATATGATTCGAGAATTTCATTGATTAAGAAAGAGAATTACAAATATAACTGTTATTGTAGAACCAGTGTCACTTTGTCCTGAAAAAAATTCACGCGGCTTAATTAATATATTAAAAGAATAAACCGGTGAGAAAAAGAATTCCCAGAGTACTCACTAAATTCAGTATGCGTCAATCGACCGAAATAAGCGCGCGTGCTATTTTCGTGGCTATAAATGCATACGTATCCGCCGAAAGTGTACGCAAACTTTTTCGTTATCTAACAGTTGATCCGATAGCGGGTCTTTTCGACGGAGGGGGTCTTTTTTTCGCGCGGCTCGCGCAGAAAGGCGAGCGTTGTCTGAGCCGAAGGGAAACAGATCGGAGGGACGTAGAGTTTGTTAAGAAAGAATTTGGACACTGTTAGACTTTTGATTGAGATCCGCCATATGTTTCAAGCTATGAAAAAATTTATATTTTATTATTATATTTATTTTACAGATTTACTTATTATAGAAATATTTGTGTTATATAATATTTATACATATAAACATATTGAATTAAATTAATTTTTTTATTAATAAATTGCTAAATTTGTTAAGTAAATTAATAAATAGATGCTAAATTGATTTGAACGTTTCGAAAAGCACAGTCTAGGTAGTTTGAAAAAAAAAAAAAAAGATAAATAGTGTTTAAACTCTTGTTTAAGAATCTGGACAGTTGGATAATTTTTAATTAAAATCTATCACGTTTCAGATTAACTACGAAATATTTATATATTATTATTATTATTATTTATTTTAATTCTTAACTATTAAGTTAAATTTATTTTTTATTATTGCATAAATAAATTTGAAAAGCGCAGCGTATAGATAATTTGAAAATGGCGAACGATATCTGAACATTTGGGGAACTGTATAAGGAGTGATATCGATAGTTCAAGCTCTTATTTTCAAGACCGTCTTAGGTCTGGTCATGGGCAGTCTTAAGATTCTATCCAATCAAATGAAATGATCATACAGCGTCTCGAGATCGTACTTAAGACGATCTTGAATATATGAGTACCGACCTAGAGAGACCTGTATACTGTATAGAGAAACGGCGCTCGACGCACGTATCGTTCGTTTTTACGCGACGAGCTCGCTGCGGTAAAGCTGCTCCTCGTCCATTTCAAATCGCCCCGTGTCATATTTCTCTCCCGCGGGCACGCACGTAAAAGTATGTCCACGTACGCGCGCGCGCAATCGCGCGATCAGAATGCAACGCGACACCCCGCAACGCGCGCGATCCGCTCGCGGGGCTCGCTCGCTCTCGTGGGACTCCGGCCGCTCTCTCGCTCCATTGCAAATGCAATCTTCCGCCGCCGAGCTCATCTCTCCGTGATTAGGATGCCAATTGCACCGCCTCGAGAACGATTACGGACACGAGCGTCGGTTGTCGCAACCGTGAGGCAACAGCTCGATCGCCGCTCGTGTGCCGCGCGCGCGAGGGGAGAGGCCTCGACGAGAGACGGATCGCTCGCGCAATCGCAACCTTGTTCGAACTAGGGAATCTCTAATGGAAAAATTAGTGAAACTTCTCTCGCAAACTCTCGGGCCGATCACGAGGATTCCGTACAAAGTAAGCCTCGCTCGGCGACATTTGTGCGCGGTGATTCTTGCAGCCGAGATACAGAATCGCGGAAGGCTGAATTTTTTTTTTTTAAATAACGAAAATCGAATTGAGGTCAATTTACAACGTATACGTTTCTGTGATTGATCGTTTATTAAATGGTACTCTCGCCGCTGTCCCGTCGCCGTCGACAAATGGCTTAACGCGGCCACATGTGTGCCTCTAATAATAGTAACTAAAAAACTGCCCTGACTCCAAGGAATAAGGGCCTAAACCGGTTTATACGTTCCTCAACCTTGCGTCTTATAGGTTCAGACGCGACGTTCTTTACGAGAAACGGATTTCTCGAGCGCCTTCTCGGCCTCGTGGAAATAAAATCTTTTCGATTTGTGATTCGTGCAACATCAAAATGACTACCTCAAGACCGTAATTCCAATGAGACTCATTATATTATTAATTCAAAATCATCAAAAGTATTTGTTTAATAAACGACGCAGAGACATTAGAAATAATTATATCTTCCTCGCGCCTCCAATTTCAACCTACAATTCACCGTGGCAGAATAAACGGAGCATCAACATGACGGATTCGGTGGTTACGAATTTATCTGCTGGAAGAGGGGAATCCGCGACAGCGTTTTATAAGTAACGTCTGCCGAAGCGAAAGAATGCCGGCGCTCGATACGGCCGCACGTGTTCGCTTAATGACGCTAATAAGACGGCTCTTTCCCTCCCCGGAATGCGTGCAAACAGTTTTTAAGTGACGACCCGAATTACGTTCCGTCGTGGACAACGGCCGCCCGTCCATTAAGCGTAAACAGCGACAACTGTATAATAGATATACAGAAAATATTAAATGTTGGAAGAACAGAATAGTGTATACGGGCGAACGTTCTCCAATTTTCTGTAATCCGTTCTATTCTTTGAATTAAAAAGTAAGTTACTCAAACTTAAAATTCTTGATTTAATTAAATATCTCAAATTCGAATCTTAATAATCAAAAAGTGGAATACTTAAAAGTTAAATGTACAAAGCTAAAAATATGCTTGTTTCTTATAAATGTATCAAATACGTTTTCAGTTGAAGTGTTCAGGAACTTACAAATATCAATTTTATTTTTACAAATATTGATAATATATGAACACGATAGACGAAATTCTTCTCGGAAGGCAATGTATATAGTTGCACCACGTGCCTGCGGAAAATCGTTTGCGCCACGCGCGATCCAACGCATGTTCGCCACTTTTCCCACGCTCTCGTAAATAATACTCCCACCTGTTCGGAAAGGATTCACGCGTTGATCCACCTTGATTCACGTCGGATTCTCGGAATGCTTGATCACCTCGAAGAATTTCACCGGATGAAGAGATTAGACTATATTTTATACCGTGATAATAATAGCAATATACGTTCGAGAAAACATTTATATAATAACATTCCCGCGGACGTATGTATAATGTACTGCGTTTCTGTATTCGCTTACACTCCTGAATTTCTGTCAGTGGGCATATCTTCCTCTCTATTTGTTCGCAAAATTCCACTGACAATCTGAATATTTACAAAATATCTTCATCTCATGCAGAATTTATATTATAATAATATAATTAAATAAATCTGTTTTGCAAATACATAAATGGATGCTACATTTTTCCGACAGATTTATTTAAAATCGACGATTTGCGTGAAACAAAAATATTGCAAACATCGAGAGAGAGAGAGAGAGAGAGAGAGAATGCAAAGGAGTTTTTTAAAGAATTTTCCAAAGAAATTGACAAATTCTCGCTATTGTTCATTTACTATCGCGAAAACCACCGTTGAAATCGGCCGTCTAGCCGTTAACGTATTCGGCCACGTTTTTAATTTCTATACTTTGTCCATATAGCGGGCGAGTATCCGATCGGAACGGGACGTACGCCGGTTTATCTACGATCTTCGGTGGTGGACGGAGGCACGATTCGACGACGCTTTCGAGGAACTCATTGACGTGACTGCCGTGACACGAGGACGTGGCTCGCACAACGCGGGAAACCTAAATACTTCGCGGACATGTCCACGCCCGACGACGGCGACAAAAGGCCGTTACATGACCGTGCCGACGCGAGAATATATAAATGTGCGTTTAAGTAATGCGACGAGGGATCGTTTGAACCGCTTGTCGTAATGATCACGTGACGAAAAACGAGGGCTCTGCACCATATTAATCACAGTTTCAAAGAAACTTTTTAAAACGCGGAATATGCATTGTACACACATTTTTTCATGCTATATTTATATATGGAATAATATATGGAAAAATTTTTAATCATAGTGGCAACTGGCTTTTCGAAAGAAGACAGACAGTTAAAAAGTTACTGCCAATAATAACTAAAACGTCTTATAACAAAAATCTAGATGTAATATACTTTTTTAAGTTGTATCTCTACAATATTTCTATTATAATAAATCTCTATAATAAAAGAAAAAAATTTGTACAAAATATATGATTATAATTATATATGTCATTTAATATAACTGTCAAATGTACTGTTCATTAAACATGATAATGAAATATCAAACATCTCAATAATCAATCAAAATTTTGTAAAAAGGAGAAGAAAAGAAGAGATCCCTACTATATTGATATTCCTTATTACAAACATCTCGAGTTTAGTTCAAAAATTTGCTGTTGAGATCGAGTTATTAAGCACCAAACTACTCTACACGAGGTGTAATGGAAAGAAATTGTTGGATTGTCCACGATACAAGTTTAGAAAGGACGGAATACAATCGTTCAAGACGGCGAATGGCAATTAAGGACGCAGCGGCAGAGTCGCCTTCGCCTGATGCGGGCCTTTCCACGGATATACCGGCCGCGGCCGGCGCGCACACACGGTTTATTTCCAAGCGAGATCTTCAATAAACATCGAAAAAAATAGCCTCCACTTTAGCGCGAGAATCCCGGCCACGTGTTTTATATACCGGCGTGGCGCCGGAATCGATCGGAAACGCGAAGCGGATACGCGCGATCATAATAACTCCCGGCGATGGCGGGAGGGGCGGAAGAAAGCGGATTTCGGGAAATCGTTTTCATTTTTGTTTACGCTGAGTGTGCAGATCGCGAGTTTAGCGTCGCGACGGACGTTTCGCCCTCCTCTCATGAACGCGCCGTCGCACCTGTTTTCAACACCGCCACGCGTTGATGTCCCGCGCGCGTGGCCTCGGATGCGATCTGCGTGCAGCATCGCGAGTGCGCGCCGCGCGTTTTATTTACGATCATTACGCGTCAGTCTAATAAAGTTTAATGTAATATATGAATATAATTATATAATAATACATATTATTTAATGTAACACAATTAAAATCAATCAATTAAAAGAAAAATATAACATTTAGTATATTTTGGTAGTTAAACGTTAAACGGTATTTCGTGATAATTAGAATTTTGGAAATTACTATATTTCTGAGATGCGATCGCGCGCCAGAAAATATTTCGCATACAATTTTCAAAGTGATTGTTACTTTCTAAATCCTTTCTCGGTATTATAAATAATATGGTATATGAGTATAATAAAAATCATTAGAGATCTTATACACACTGCAAAAGACGCGATAAAAGTTTGAAAGAAATAATGATGTTTAGAAGAAATATTATTATACAAAATATTATTTACAAAATGAAAAAAAAACAACAAAGAGATAAGTGAAATATTTCGAGCCAATTCGATCGAATAAATGGTACAATTTTCATTTCGTCAAAAGAATTCAAAAATATAGTAGGTATTAAAATTAAAATCTTCAAAGAATAACGACAGAAATAAGAAGGCTTTCCCAAAAATTTTATGATCCCTCAATAAACGCAAGTTTGTATCGGCTATTCTATTTTCTTGTCGCATACAAGTACTTTGTTTCCGGGCATGGGGTCGAAAGATGTTTTAGATTTGATATTGCCGACGTGTGTCGGATGCGCGACACATTTTCCACGCGCGAGAGACGTACCGTCGCATCGCCGCCGCGCGAGAGTGCCCGCGATTTGTCGCACCGATCGAATTAGATCAACATCATCGCCGCGCGCGCTAAGCCCTATAAGCGCGGCACATACTCACGCTGCCTTCGGTGGTATCGTGCCTGTCATGATGTAATCCGAGGCGACGTAGCCGACGAGGAGGAAGTGAAGGTGGAGGAGAACGTGGAGGAGGGGAAGGACGCGTCGCTGCAGCCCCGAGTGACAATCTGCCGAGCGAATCGCCGCTACGTCGCGGTCGCGCGGACCACCGGGGATGATGGTCTTTCAGTCACTGTACGGCGATGACCGGCGATCACGTTTTACGGCGAACCATCCGATTTTCCGACGGAGAGCACAACGGAAGGAGGAGAGAGAGAGAGAGAGAGAGAGAGACAGAGAGAGAGGAGAGAAGGAAAGAAACGCCGAGGTAAAGGAAAACGGGGAAACGCGCCGTCACGCTGTCACTTCTCGCGGCGGTTGAATGACGACGACGAGACGGGACATCGCCAGCGTAAAGCGGAGCACCTCGGAGCACCTCCCTCGCCCACACGATATACCACCCGAACGCGAGCAACACGCGGGAAACGTGCGTACCATCGCGCGGTCGCGACGCGACTAGTTATACAGACTGATTTCCGCCCACGACCTAATCGTCGGACGGACGGACGGATGGGTGAGAGAGAGGGAGCGTTTGCGTTCGTGCGCGTGGAAAGAGATGGGACAGGGGAGAAAGAGAGAGAGGCAGAGGAAGGTGAAGAGAAGGATATCGAGAGATGCAGGGACGTTTTATTGCCTAGGCCCGCGATCTAGGGCCCCCTTCCTCCCCCTCCGTGATTTATTGGGCGACCGAGAGAACTTTGGCTTCCGCTCTGCGGATGTAGTTTGCGAGAATTGTAATGTGAAAATTTGGGATAAAGTAGCTTTATAAGCATCATAAACAATAAACACTCCTTAAAAATCCTCTTATTACACATCTTATAAATTTTATTAAAATAAATTATTTCGGATCTTTGTTATGCATGCGTATAGGTGATAGAAATGTATATATGAATTATACAAATACTTTATATAAAGGCTTCACATTTTAGCAAATTATATAAAGAAAAGGAATGTTTTTTGTATACAATTTTAATAGAAATAGCTATGATTGTACTATAATCATCTTGAAATACTATATAGTAAAGTAAATTATTCAAAAGAAAAGAAATAATATTCAGGAATGTCTAAATAAATTTGTATAAAGAAAAAAGGAAAGAAAATTCGCATGGTTTTTTTTTTATAAAAAAACATACGTTTTCTTAAAAGTTTGTTTATGATGAATAATTAAAAATATACAAGTCAAAACACGCACGCAATAAAATTTAATATTAACATACCTAATATAGATCCAAATACTTTATCATCAAATTTAATCCCTCAGAAAGATCGATAGTGTGCGACGAGCGTTGCTTTAATAATCACGACGTATACACGTGCAGTTTTATTTATCTATTTCGTATAAGAAACGGGCTTTTAGGGTTCGTAAATGCGATAAAACGGCCCTGACGAGAGACAGAGGAAGCGGCGGGATCATTGAGATCGGCACGGCCTGGTCGATAGGAGAGGAAATTCTCTCCGAATAGAGAGGAAGAAAAGGGGTTGCCGCGGCATCTGCGCCGAGGTGAACTGAAGGGGAGGGGCCCGACAGGTTCTCCGCCACTCTCCGGTCTTACGTCGCAGGCTCATGATCTCTCCTCTCTTACCTGAGATGATTAAGCCCGCGGGAGATAACGGCCTCGGAGCGCGGAGTGGTCCAGCGCGTCCTCCCGTCTCCTCCTAACTCGGTCCCCCTGCATTCCACGGTGGTATTAACCCTATAGTGCCGAGCGGAATGCTGGACTAGCGACTGGCTGGCTGGCTGGTTGGCTGGCTGGCTGGCTCTGGTCGCTCCTCGATTACCTGTAATATAAACGAAAAAAAAAGATTGTTATTAATTTGACAAATTTGACGTGAACTATCGGAGGAAAGACAGCGAAAAAAAATTTGTGTTGCGATAGGAATGAGCCTTGGAACTATTGTTTTTTTTCTAACAGTACGCTTTACTTCGTAATTGTAGCGTGCAAATTACAATGCGTATCGAGTTTGATTGGCTACTTTTGAAACTCTATGTATTCATTATTACGCTTACATAACAGTTTTATGTGATACTTTGAAATTATATCAATATAATGAAAGCACGTAAAATAAAATATCGATGGAGTGATTATATTATCTTATAAAGGAAGATTTATTCACAGATTTGTTCATATTGAAAATTGGCAGAGCAGTAGTGTCTTTCTTCAATATTTTTTAACAAGTCCCCTTTTTTAACAAGCAGCCTTGATCAATTAATGATCCTTCTAACACCACGTGAAACCTGCAGTTCAGACAGGTAACGATGTGACTCACTCTTCCTGTTAAATCCTCTTGATCAATTTTTCATAAGCAAGATCACTCGATAGTATTACTTACAATTAGATCTATCTTCAACGATTGAGCTCGACCGATCGATGATCTAAATAAATATTGCTGTCGTTAATTTACTTCGTTCCTTCCCGCGATCCGTTTCCTCCGCGCGAAACCTCCTGCGAGCGCGTCTCGAGTCTCGAATTGACCAGGAAGCCGCGTCGTCGTTAGATATTAGCGCGCGATATGTGCGACTAATTATATCGAGCGGCATTATTAATCATCTCCGGAGTAACGCAGATCCCGCACGATCTCTCGCGGATCCTCTCCCCTCCCCACTCCCATATCCTCGATCTCATTACGACTTTGTTGCATTCCTTGGCTAATTATCGTCGCTGCATGTGGGTAAGCACGTGGCCGGCGCGATCGCGCGCTTTAATCTGCCCGACGAATCTGTAGCTGAACGCGCAAATTGCGCGCACGCCATGCCGAATTGCATAATAGATCGGCCGGGGCGGATAACGCCCGCGGCGGTTCTCTATCATTTCGGGTGGCACCTCCGCCGCGCGCGGAGCGGGGCCTCGTTACCGGCGCCGATCGCACCGGCGATATCGTCCGGGATTTACAGGTGTAAATTTATTCCCCGCGCCCGCGCGCGTTCGTAGCCGAGACTTTAATGGTATCGTCTCGTTCGCGCGGGCCGTATCGTTATTCGCGCGCGCGCTCGCCGCCGCGCCGCGGCCGGCCGCGGCCGCGCGGCCGGTCCGCCGAGCGTTACGAATCAGGAAACGGAATTAGGGAAACGGAAGGAAACGGGTGTGGAGGAGCGAGACTAGTTAACGGTGACGAAGCGTAGATACGATATGTGCGCGAGTTATTGCTCTAGGAAGCTTCCTCGGCTGGCGGCGGCGTTCACGTGCGGAAATCGAATGTATTCGCACGATTCGCCATGGGCTCACACATGGGTCTCACGTAGGCGAAAATGATACAATTAATTTAAATTTATTCGCAAGACGCTCCCTCGTGTAATTATTTTAAATCCTAAATTAAAGCTTCGCCTCAAAATTATCATATATCTTAAAGAAAAAAAAAGAAATATACAAGTTTTCTGGATTATATATATGGATTATATATGGATTATATATACAATTATCTGAATTTTATTACCTGAATTTTTGAATATTATGCTAGAGTATTTTAATATTATACTACAGTATCATTAATTATACAATAAGATGTGGTTTAATTTTATATCGTTGCTATATGCGATGCTTTTCAATAATTTCTTGTTTTATCTTTAATACTGCCCAATGCGCGCATATATTTCAGTTACATAATTATTTTAAGTCCAAGCACGCGGCGGCGAAAAGTTACAGTTCGAAACTCTACTCGCCTGTAGTCGGCTCCTAAGCCGGTCCAGGAAATTCCTACGGTGGGTTCGCGTCAGGAGACGTTTTCACTTCCTGTCTTTTTCCCACGGCGGGATGTCCCAAAGTATAACACCCCGGCGTGATTTTGACACACGTTTGCTGCGTTTAGTTGGGCAGAGACAGCATCTGGAGCTGGTCTGTCGTCAGTGCACGGAGGAGAGAGCCTTTACCTACTTCTCTCGCTCTCTTTCTCTCACTCTTTTTTTCTGTCTCCTTCCGCCCGCTTCCGTATTCCTTCCTACGTTATTGGATCAAATAGCGCCGCGGCGGTTGTGTCGCATTGGATATTATAAAACGAAATACATATGTAAAAATGATAAAGATATATAGGCTTTTTACCGTCAAACGTGGAACATTGAGGATTTATAATATAATTATGGTCGAAATATTGCTTTCATAATTTCTTTTAGTTTCTACAATTAATTTTAATTAATTTAAATATATGCATGTATAAAAATATTTTATATATATATCAGTACTAAATAAATTCATATATTTAATATATACACTTATATATAACTTATACATACATAAATTTGATATTTTTATGTGAATTAAACTATTTAGGTTGATTTTGTACTTTTGAAGAAAGATGCAAAAAAAAATTTAATTCTCCTTAGATCTATTATTTTCTGAAACGTGCTATTTTAAAGTCTCGTTGCAAGAAAAGTAAAATATAGATGAGATAATTGAAAAAAATTAAAAAAGCAATAGTTTATATGATCCAAATAAGATAATAATAATTAAAATTAGAAAAATTGTATACGTTGTACCTAAATTATTTATGTATTGTCCTAAATTTTTCACACTTTTACTCTTTTGTATTCTGGATTTCTTAAACAACTTGAAAATAATTTCTTATATCTGCTTTAGAATCTTTTATAGAAATTTAGAATTTTCTTAAGCTGATCTACAGGTAAACATTATTATTAATTTTCGTCCATTTCCCTTCCTTAATAATTGTTGAAATTGACAATTTTAAGTGCGTATGAGTAATTGGATCTTTCACACATTCGTCGCACAAGAAGGAAATTATTTTAATCGCATCCTGTGCGCGTGAAGTCCCGTGGCTTCCACTTTTCAACTGCCCGAAGAGCGGCGGAGTGGTAAGAAAGGAAAGGAAAGGAAGTACCGAAATAGACGAGAATATTCTTCATAATTCCGATCGAGGAGTAAAAAAAGAACTGTCGGATGCTTGTTGAAATATACCGTACGAGTCGACATCGCAAATCACAATTATAATATTATCCTATCTCGAAGGGTAAACTTTTTAAATAAATTCTGCATTCTGTTTCCCTTGTAATAAAAATAATACCTCCTATGTAAATCATTGAATGATCGTAAAAATAATTTCAAAATGAAAAAAAAAAAGATATAGAAATCTGTTGTGCGCGTTATATTATATATCAAACATAATGCATACTGAATATAAATTCCATTTTTTTCAATAAACTTTACGGTTAATATAATAATAATAATAATAATTGAGGATGACAGAATATATTGAAGAGTGGTTTGAAAGAATGTGTTTTAAATTAAGTTTAGCCATCGCTATATTACCGACTGTCGACATACTGCTTGTATAAATATTTCTAATGTATCTACATTGGGAATACATTGGTTCAATATTGCGCCAATAAATTTGCCAATATTTTGTACTTACAAGGGATGAGATCGGATTAGGAAAGCATCAGATCACATCAGATTCCACTATTTTCCTCTCTCAATACTAATACAATTTCCGTTTACCAACGAAAGAGCGCGATCTATCGATGCAGCGAAGTCTATGGGCAAATGTATCCAATGCCGTGACAACACGAGGCTGTCAGCTGATTTTTCCGCGTTATCAGCGTCGTGCGTTATTCGAAAGTCCCTCTTGTCGCGGTGCCGCTCCGACGCGAGTTTCGCACGCCCGTTGCATCTCCGCGCGATATGCACTGAGACGAACGTCGAGGAGGGACCGTCGAGTAAAACGCGCGGATTGGAAATCGAGCTCCGCGGGAAACGATATCCGGGGAAAGGCGAACGATGAGCTCGCAGGCTGACGTGAGATCAGGTGAGACACGATCGCGCGATTGCTTTTTCCGGGGGAAGCGAGTCGGGAAGTGGCGTGTTTAGGGTGTCGGTCTGCAAATGTGCACGGGCAGATCAGACGAAATGGCGCGACGCAATCTCAAAGCGACACGTGTAAAAGCGCGTAAGTAACTGAGACGATGGTCGAGTAGAAAAACTCGCAATGAAATCCACGTGGTCCACTTATTTTATGTAAATTATTATATTTATATGTGTTATATAGGTTTTATAAATTCGAATCCCCTCAATTCCCTCGATGTTTTCCAATCCAATCCAATGTAGTTCAATTCAATTTAGTTTTTCTTTTATTTTGAAATTCTGAATGCAATATATTCACTCTTTTTTTTCTTGAAAGCCCATTTTACGTTCGATCATGCGAAAATTGCAATAGATTTGAAAATTTATATTAAATAAAATAAAAATATATAAATTCTTCGTGCATATTTTGCAGGAGTGCCCAAAGGAGATAATGGTGAAGTTTCGACAAGAAGAGCAATAGCAACTGTCGGACTCATATTTGTGACCTCGTTGACCGCGTTATTTTATGTGTACACGAGTTTTCCTGAATTAGATGAGTAAGAACAGCCGTTTGTCAATATATATCTATTCATATTTTATGTTTTGTAGCACGTATAATATGTGATTCCTTTATGCATTCTTTTCGTAGAGACGAAAAGCAGTATATGACGCTGCCGCTTCACATAGAAGATGCCAAGAATCTGGGGAAACTGTTAGAACGATATAAGGATTTGTATTACTTCCAAGTACTGGCCGGGCTGTTCATCACTTACATCTTGTATCCTTGAATACTCTAGTCACATATCTTCGCTTTCAATCTGCCGCATTGAAACGCGCGAGTATATTCCTTACATCATATCTCAATTCAGCCTGCAGACGTTCGCCATTCCCGGCTCCATTTTTCTCTCAATCCTGTCCGGATTTCTGTTCCGCTTCCCGGTCGCGCTACTGCTCGTGTGCACGTGTAGCGCGATCGGCGCCACCCTGTGCTACCTGCTGTCCTCGTTGCTGGGCAGGCGGTTGCTGTTCCGATACTTTCCGGAGAAGGCGAAGGCGTGGACCGTCACCGTGACCAAGCACCGCGACAATCTGCTGAACTACATGCTGTTCCTGCGGATGACGCCCTTACTGCCGAACTGGTTCATCAATCTCGCGAGCCCGGTGATCGGCGTGCCGATGATGCCGTTCACCGTCGGCACCTTCTTCGGCGTCGCGCCGCCCTCCTTCGTCGCCATACAGGCGGGTCAAACGTTACACAAACTCACGTCGTCGAGTGACGCGTGGTCGTGGAACAGTGTTATCATACTGTGCGTGTTCGCGCTGTTCTCCCTACTGCCCGTGCTGTACAAGCAGAAGCTCAAGCAGAAGTTCGAGTAAACGCCAGAACGCTCCACTGACGATAGCCTCAGAGTGACATTCCGACAATTACGCGAGGAAAGAGCTTTTTCCCGATCGCGTCCGATGGAGCGAAATTTTTTTTACCGATAATCTCTTAGGAAATTGAAGAAAATTGTATCAAATGCGAATAATGTTGGGATTAGGGTCAGCTTTTTCGCACCAGTTGTTTGCATTTGGACACGTGGATTATACGCGCGCAAGATATAGTATAACGAATTCCCGCGAGCACAATTTTCGCTTAACTTATTTATTATTGTTTATAATTTATTTCTACAAGTGTGTCTTAGATTATGTGGAGACGTCGACATTAAAAAAAAAATAAAGTAAACTATGAAATATAGACGAAGATGAAAATCAACTTGTTTTGATTATGAGTGTACACACAGACGTGTGTATTTTACACAATAGGCAGGAAGTGATTTCAGGAAATTCTACATCGGTGAGGTTGCTGAATTTTCTCGTCTACTTTATGCATTGTCATATCAGAAATAATACTCGAGGTCTAAATCTACCAAAAACCTTGTATACGCGAGTTAACGTTTAAAATTAAAAGAAATAAAAAAAAATGCGCGGGTAAAAAACTTAACTTGTAAATTTTATTAAATGTAGCTTTATCATTATTGGCTACATCGTTTTTTTGGCACATATCCACGATCTGTTTCTCCTATCGGCGATTAACAGAACGAAGTTAAATAACCAATAGAAAGATCAGTAGCATTGTACACTGGCAGACTTACGGGTCTCCAATACCACCAATTGTACCATACTTAAAAACATAAAACAAAATAAAATGTACAATATAAATAAAAGTATAAATTTAAAAAAAAAGAAGAGAGGGCGGATCATCCGCAAAGTCTCTGATACTCACATGTGTGTCCAGCGGACAATAAAATGGTCGAGGATCTACAGTGTTGGGCGCACTCCGAGCTCGGTGTCATTTTTATCAGTCTTGCGCCAGCCGCGCATCGCAGCATGATGTTGCTACACTCGGGGTTAGGCTAAAAAAAATTTACGAATTAAACCGTTGCAATTAAAACGTAACGACGAGAACGCTTCACATACCAATGGATAGGGCGGCGATTCCGACTCGTCGATAAAAATATATTTCTCCGTGCCTTGACTCCACCAATTCGGAGTCTCCGCTGGCTTGGGAAATAACTTTCGGAGTATTCTGTTGGGCCTCATACGATTTACCCTCCAAGATATGTGAGTATTTAGGGAAGCAGTGCGAAACCTGTCCAATCTATTATCCACGACGTCGCGGACGGTTCTGTGCGAACGTACAACATACACAGTTTGATCAGATGTATATTATATAATTAGAGATTCCGTGAAGATTGAATTCACGTGGAAATTTACTTAAAAGTTTCGTTGTTCGAAGAGATTCTTTTAGCGTCTTCGTCGAAGACGTCCCGGTTATTCCAATATAAATTAACTAGATCTTTCATCTTGACCTTGGTGTTATTCTCCTCTCTAGTGTACGGTATGCCAACGTTGAAGGATCTGCTGATGTTGTGACCGGTCAGATTTAGTACGGAATGCACCACGGTGCAAGGCCAGCAGTCCATATCGTTGACGTAGAAATACGGATTCTCTACCAAGCACCATTCATCGTACAATTCTGAAATATTAAAAATAAGTATATAAACATTAAGAGACTCATACAATTGTTCTTCGGATTGTTGTAATAAAATGTTCGGCACGTTAATCATTCGTGGATTACAAACCAGATAACGACGGATATAGGCTGACGATTGGCACAGCTGCTTTGCGCAACGTGTATAAAGCGGGATAAATGGAGTTTTGCGAGATTCTTATAAACATGACGTTTAACCAGCTCTGGCATAAATATAACAACACGACGGAGATAAGAACGAATGTTAAAACAATTCGCAGAGGCTTATTCGATGGTTTATTTGATTTTTTCGAGTACTTGGCCTGCAACTGTTGAAAGCAGGCTCGAAATATTTCGGACGTTTGCGCCTCCGAGACATTGTGAACGGCCGCGTATCGTCTGATCTGTCGTACACTCTCTCGATATTCGTCCAGATCGACCATAATCGCGAATCTCTTGACCGCGTAAAACTCAAATCACGTATTGTTGTGTTCTTATTTACATTTTGAAATATACGTATGCACACAACTGTCAACGACAGTCCTGTCACTTTTACTTGCCCTTTTCTGGTTAACTTTCTACACTCATGTTCTTTGCTCTCTTTCTCTCTCTCCCTTTCTCTCCTCCGAATATAGGTCTGTTCGTGCGTTCGTGCTGCTTGCACTCAGAAAAATCTTCGCTGTTTCTTTCTCCAATACGATATCAGAGAGAGGAGCGTGAGAGCGGCCACGCCGGCTTTTTAGGTTGGGACCGGCGATCTCCTCCGAACACTAGCGCCCCACGTCCACGTTTTCAAAAAAGAAACTACGTACCACGTTTATCTTATAATGTCGATCAAATAATAACACGACACGAGAATGTGGACGTAATTCGTGCCCGTGCTAATAATGCTACGTGCACAAATTGTGAATAAATAGATCACGTTTATTTTGCGATATTGCTGATGAAATGCATTTCAATTCATGTCTATACTACATCCACAAATTGTAGGTGAAGAATGTGGCATATATAACTGCTGCGCGAAGAGGCACGGAATCCTAACCAACGGGCCTTGTTAGAGGCTCAAAAACTCCCGCCGATATGCGGAGAACACGTTGAGCGAAGAGGTGACACGTAATCCTATTAATCCTAGCCAGTGCGCCTCGATAGAGGCTCGAAAACTCCCGCCAATATGCGGAGAACACGTTGAGCGAAGAGGTGACACGGAATCCTATTAATCCTAGCCAGCGCGCCTCGATAGAGGCTCGAAAACTCCCGCCGATACGCGGAGAACACGTTGAGCAAAGAGGTGGCACGGAATCCTAACCAGCGCGCGTATCGACAGAGGCTTGTCGGTAAGGCGGAAAGCTGTTGAACGAAGAGGCACGGAATCTCCCACTCTCATACGGCGCGTAAGCCCCGCCTCTCAGCGCAAAAGCAGCATATATGCGTTGGTGGGGGCAGTAGGCTCCTCCTCCATGGCGCGCTGGCGGCCTCCGCCCCGAATACCTCTGCCACCTACTTGTTAACTGTGCGCTCCTGATACTTATTATTCGATTTAAACGAAGTTTCTGACGCTGCGAAAGCCGGCTTTTGCTTAACCTCTCATCTCTATATGTACTTTTA